TCCTCACCTCTCACTCCTCTCCGTAGGGCTTCGGCCGCCCCATCGGGGCCCTGTAATTCGTAACAGATCTTGAAATTTTTCTAGTACCAAGCTATGTCGCATCAGATTAAATTCAAGCATGCAACAACAACCAACCCTTCAATTAATATACACTATTAGGAATCAGCTAATACCAAGATCCATTGGAAGGTACCTCTAATTATCCTTAAGAGTCACATTGAAGGAGATAACTCCCGATCATTCCGCATTGTATCCAACATTCTCTGGACCTTACTTCCAATTCTATGGGATATAGACAAATTAAACCGTGGAAGGGCAACTATTGATTTGATATCAGAAATATTAAAAACTAATATCCCTTGCTATAAACCAATAGACTAAGCTAATTAATTAAAAACAGTCCTACAATCTCAATTCCAACAAGGGTGGAAATCCACTCGTATTAATATTGATCCAAAACGCATGTCGACTTTGTTAAGATGTAAGACTAGATATAGTAGGAATTCATTAGAAAGGATAATTAATCTAAATAATATGTCTGGAATAATATTATAAACCTTAGAAATTGTTCGTATTCATTATTATCACTACTTTATATATATTAATGACGAATATAGATTATCTGGGTCTAAATAAGAAATAACATAATTTCGAGATTCAAGATTACTTATTAATCCATACTTGGATATAGTTTTCGTATTAAAAAGGGGAAACATCTGGATATGTAAAAAACTTGTCAACTATTTCAAGGCCATATAAATGAATGAAATATCTAGCATATGTACCCTCGTCTTTTATTTTAAAAAGTCTTCTGGTTTCATTCCAAGATAATTTATGTGTTTTACTTACTTCACAATCAATAATAATTTCTTGGTTCATCGATTATTTGTTAGATTCACAAGCTGAAATTAATGGTAACGAGCTTGAAACAAGAATACAGATTCCTCCACCATTAATTTAGTGTCGGTTTTGTGTGTTGTACAGTTTTCCTCGTTGAATTTGTTTGTTGACTTTAATTCTATTTGGAGAGTGTTACCCGACTTTCTTATACATAAGCCATTGCATTACTTACTGTTTATTTTAACGTTTTTTACCCAGCAAGCTTTTACTAAAATTTACATTTAAATAGGATAGCTGGAATGAAAACTGTAGCTTGCTTCTTCTACCCTCAAACTATAGTCCAATAAGCGAGTTGTCTTGCCAAATAATCTAAATATGGATCTCAATTTCATAAATTTCCCAGTTTTAGATTAAATGTTGATCACTTGACCCGAAATGAAATTTACCACGAATAAATAGAGGTAATGCCTGAATTCGGAGGGGTCACTTAGTAATCCTAGCTAGAGTATTGAAATTTTACTACAGAGAACTTCTTGCTTAAAATTATAAATAATATTATACAATACTAAAATAAGCAAATAAATAACAATCATCCCGGGGTATACACCAATTTGAATCCCATTCCATTATAGCCATCCCCATCACCAACCAATAATTATTTGTATATTAGAAGAATCAAAATCTTCTTCTTCTTCGGATTCCATAGCCGATGTTGCATTTATTGCCCCATTATCATTACAAGATGAAGATGAAGATTGATAATTGAGTTCCGGAAGCAAACAATCAAGATTAAATGAATTTGGGAACTCCTCGTCGTCGTCACTTGAATATAAATATGACGATGTTTGATTCATTACTTCCCAATCCTCATTGTATAGATTTCCAGACTGAATTCAATGTCATTATTTTCTTGTTCGTGGTACAAAATTTGGCGGGGGAAGGT